AGGTGACCAAAGTATCTGAGCTTGAGCTTCATTATCAATCCTTCCAATGAGCAGTCAGGTTTGATTTCTAGAGTTTTAGTGAGTTTTAAACTTAATGAGTTTTAATCAAGTTAGATACAGTATTTGGGTTTCTGTCTTGATTCAGTTAAGGAATATTAAAATAAAGCTAAACTTATTTAAAGGTAATTTCTTAGCTCATCTCTGAATTACACTCAATTTTTCTGGAAACATATGTTTCTTGTTGCAAGAATGGTTAGCCTTCAATATGGCTTACTGTAGCTTCTAAGATCAATGCTTGATAATTCTCAGTTTTGAGAAAACAACCCTAGAGATTAATCATGAGTCCCGATTTAGATTTTCAGAAGGGCAGGAGCAAAGCTGCACAGAAATATAACAGTGACCTCTGAGTAGATGTTACTCTGTGCCTAATAATTGCAACAACATTTTTTTCACTCTACCGAAGAGGGTATTCATAAGTGTAAGTTTCTTTTACTATCCGTGCTTTGGGAAGGGAGGTTTAGTAACATTCAACTTCAGGATTGCCTATGTCCATTGTTGGACAGGTCATTAGAGGGAGTTTCATAGGTATTGTTATGATGCTCATATGACTATTAGGATTCTGATTCAATAACCATTCTTTTAAAGAACCAGTTGTGTCATTCTGTAGAGGACAACAAACTCTTTCCATTAGCAGACCAGTCTATAGACCTTTCCAGGAAGATTGCCAAATTTGTCTGAAATGTGTTTGCTGTAAAGAAATGACGAGTCTATGTTTGGAGAGTTGTGGCTAGTTTATGATGCCTGGAAGGCTTGTTAGTGATTGTATTTCAGTAATCTTTCAGCTGTGTTCACTAGATCGATTATTCTCTTTTTGGATTGGATTGGACTCTACCTGAGACATTTCACTCCTAATCATTCAATCAATTAATATTATTTTGATCTCTGAACCAAACCTGGTGCTTATGGGGGAGACATATATCTGTAAGAATGCCTGCACCCACTTGTTTATAATTAAATGCAAAATAACTTGATATGATCTGCAAACTATCAAACTTATCAAAAATAAGTTCTCATTTGATCCACTGAATTCCATCAGCTATGGATCAGGCATCAATCTGAAATGAAAAATACAATTGTATGTCCTTGTTTTTACAATCTGATATAATCCAGTAATGCTAGGCTGCTGCTATAACTCCTTTTTTCTCCAAGCCATGATGGCCAGTTCTTGATGTCTACATAACTATGTACTATAGTGTATACAACTGTGTTGTTCCTTTTCACTTAGATGAAATTATTTTATGGCATCTTCCCCTCTGAATATTGAATATTGCAATGATCCACTTGTAGGAACCATTCAGAGGAAACTTCATTCTTTATTTTGTTTGTGGTGGATTTATTGTGGAGAGGCGGAGTGGTTCTTACAATTGATTGTAAGCTACATTGGGATACATAGGTTGCAAATATTTAACATTAGAGCAAAATCTTTTTCATAAACATAATAGATTCCATGAATAGTAGAGATTATAACAATCTATTGCCAACCAAGTACTCTTTGAATATGAAGGCACTAAGTGCTGTCAGCTTTGGTCATTAAGCTACTCTTATTATTATTTAGCACAATGTAAATTTCAATTCTATATCTATCTATCTATCTATCTATCTATCTATCTATCTATCTATCATCTATCTATCTATCTATCTATCTATCTATCTATCTATCTATCATCCATCCATCCATCCATCCATCCATCCAAGTGCTAAAAGTATTATCCTTGTTTTTGGAATAGGCACATCCCCTTTCTTTGTGTAATGATCGTTGCCAGAGAGGATATAGGAAGACCAAGAAGGAAGGGAAGCCATTTTGTTGTTATGATTGCCTTCCATGTCCAGAAGGGAAGATTTCAAATGAAATAGGTAAGAGATACCACATCCAGAGGGGTTTTTAAAAGAAAAGAAAGAAAGAAAGAAAGGTAATGGGAGTGAATCAGCATGTGAACAGATGTGTAGGCAGGCATGCAATTCTCTCACTTGTGAAAGTATTCATAATACAAAAGCTGCATGAGTTGATAATGATACACTACATTCCAGTGAAACCACAGGGGAGCTGCAGGAAAAAAGTCTTCATGGAAATATGTCCAAGGAGAGGATGGATTCTCCTTTGGCCAGAATGATGTCTTCATATATATGCCATTTGTTGTTGTTAGTGTTATGCTTCTTCAATTAAAATTCAACACCATATGACTACCTGGACTGATCCATGGAGTTTTACTGGCAACATCATCTTCATATCTCTGGCTGAGCACTTCATGGTCGTGTTCTGTGTATAGGGCCATGTGTTGATGAGTGTAACAGATTTGAGGTGGTTGTCTTTAGATGCAGATGACTGTTCTCAATGTCCCAAAGATTAATCTCCAAACCACAGGAAAGATTCCTGCATTCCAAAAGCTGTAAATTTCTTATCGTATGACCTTCAACCACTACACAAACTGGTTGTCAGGTGAAATGCCATTTAGTATTAAGCAAATAAGATTGCACTTGAGCTTCATTGTAAGATATTTGCACCATAGCTTTTTAATAGTACAGCCTGTTCAACCATCCCTGGCTAACTGATATACATTTACAGTACCAGCACAAAATTTAGGATAATGGGATAAGTTGGCATGGCTATATCTATTCCAGCTGCATGATAAAAAGAATGTTGGCGGTTGACAGTTTACTTCCCATGTCCCAGCAGAATCCATTACAGGCATAATCAAATTGTTTTGTGCTAATTAACTCATTTCTTCGGCTTTGTTTTTATGTTCATATCTCAGACGAAGCACCTCAAGGCCATGTTCTGTAAATAGGGGCCATGTGTTGATTAGTGTAACACATTATCATCAGATTTTGGCTGGTTGTTTTTAGATACAGATGACTGTTCTCTGTGTCCAGAAGATCAATACTCAAACCACAACAAAGATTCCTGCATTCCAAAAGTTATAACTTTCTTATCGTATGAAGAACCACTGGGAACAAGTTTGGCTGTTTGTACTCTTTTGTTGGCTTTCATCACATCTTTGGTGCTCAGGATCTTCATTCAACACAGGGACACTCCCATT